AAGCCTTATATTTGGCGCTGTAACTTTTGAAAACACTATAAAACCTGTACATGAGGGGTACTGTTGTACTCGGGAGACTTCACTGAACACAAATATTTGTGTTTCAAAACAGTAAAAAGTATCATAGCAATAATATTGTCCGTTTAATGCTGTTTGTGCGTGAAAAATGCAAAAACGTCACTTTTACTGGCGATATCATCGTTGTAATACATTTTACTGTTTTGAAACACTAATATTTGTGTTCAGTGTTCAGCGAAGTCTCCCGAGTAGAACAGTACCCCCCATGTACAGGTTTTATGGTGTCTCGGAGAGTTATAGGGTTAAATATAGTGCTAGCAAATTAAATTCCCTTTACTTTCGGCATGGGTTGTCATGCAGGTCCTGCTAATTGTAATTAATTAAGATACCTAATTATGTAAAAATATTACATAAATATATATGTAGAATCAATATATGTATATATATACGTATGTGTATATATATGTATATATCTATATAATTTTTTAAAATATTTTTATTTATATATAGGTATATATATAGTGATATATACGTATATATTTATGTGTATAAATATATATATTATTTCGTTCTATGTGTATTTTGATATATATATATATATATTAATTTCACAGTTAGAACGAAACCTTTTTATCTATATATTTTTTAATTATTTATTTTTAAATATTTTTGTAATTTTATTTTTTAACGTATTTACATTTTAATTTTTTTTATAATATATATAAATATATATATAACAATAATTATATATATATTTAATCAGTATCAGTCTACGTGTAATTTGATATTAATATATATATATAATTATATATATATTAATAGTAAAATACACCTAGAACTGTACATGTGTGTATGTATATGTGTATATATATACTTTGATCATATATATATAATATATATATATGATCTAAGTATATATAATTTTATTTTTTTACACTTTTAACTTATTTTACTTTTATTTTCAGCCAGCAGGGGGACCCCCTGTAATTACAGGCAGCCCCCCTGCTGGCAATACAGAAGCCAGCTATACCCGGCCATGTGATTGTGGGGTCCTCGCTAGGACCCCACTCTCACACGGCCGGGGGGCTTCCTGGAGGACGGTCGTGCCGCGGGGGGCTCCCTGGGAGTCCCCCCCACCGCGATCGCCGGCGTGGGACCGCCGGCGACCGGGTAAGTACAGAAAGACCGGAGGGCGTACTATTACGCCCGGCGGCGTTTAGAGCCGCCTATTAGAGGACGTAATAGTACGCCCTGCGGTCTTAAGGGGTTAAAGATGCATGACAGAAAATTTCCATCATGCAGTTTTTTTCCAGCAGGGTCTATTACTATGAGCCCCAGGTATAATTTGATTCCTGGGGCTCCACTCTCTCACCAGACTGACCGATGCTCTGTTTGCAGAGCTCAAAGTAAGCGCTGCAACAAGCATTTAAATGGGGATTTAAATCCCCACTATTACAATTTGGTGTGATCAGGGCTAGATCCCTGCTCACACAAGGGAGTTCCAGGTATCAATGGAAACCTGGGGCTCCCATCTATCAGGGACATTTTTAGTGACCCCACCCTTTTTGATGAGCTACATGCAGTGCTGGAAGTCAGTGCGGCATGTATCTGCTTAAATAGGCATTTAAATACATATATCTAGATTGTGGTATAAGCAGGGTTAAATCCCTGCTCACACTAGGAATCCCAGGTATCATTAGAAACCTGGGGGTCCCCTCTGTCAGTTGGGGCCATTTTTAGTGGCCCCTGACTTTTTGATGAGCTGCATGCAGTGCTGAAAGTCAGCATTGCATGTAGCCCTTTAAATCCACAAAGAACACTGCAGCTGAGCAATCAAGCTCAGCTACAGTCATTCTCTCAAGTGCTCTGGAGTTTGGGAGACCCCCAGGGTCTGGTCAGACCCTGGGGGATCACCCTCTATGCCCCAATGCCATTCTGATCAGTGCTGGGCTTTTTCAGTTGCCCAGGACAGATCGCATTGCATTAGGCATAATGTCTTCAATGTAAGAGATAGGGGACTGCAATACTGAAAAGTAGATAGCAGCAACGTACCACTGTCTGTTTTAGTTTAAAATCCCTTTACTAATATCAGTACTGATATTAGCAGAGGGAAACCTTTGGGATTAAGATTAAATTAAGGATTACAATTAAGGATTATTATACAGTTTAGAGTAAGTTTTATATTTATTATCAGGTTTATTATTGTGTTTATTATTAAATTTATAATTAATTGTAGTATTGGGATTCTGTTTCAGATTAGGATTCTGATTATGGTTCAGATTAGGATTGGGGTCAGCACGGGCATCCCTTGCTGATTATAGCAAGGGAATTCCTCTGCTGACACCAGCAGGGGGAATCATTTTAACACTATTGCTAAAAGTAGGATTGAGATTAGGAAGAAGGTTATAATTAGGGTTACACATGGGATTACGGTATGGGTTAGGATTGTTGTAAGGGTTTATGATTAGATTGAGGGTTAGATTTGGGATTAGGATTTGGTTTAGAATTAGGGATTGGTTTTGTATTAGGGATTTAGATTGGGACTAAGATTAAGATCGCTACTTTCCAAAGATATATATATTTGTACTGAGAAGATTTTGCTGAGTACAGCTAAGATAATTTTATGAAAGTGGGACACGCGAGATTTAAAAAATAAGCATTTTAAACAAAATGGTAACAAAATGTCACTTCAATAAAGCTTATAATATTTTATGTGAGAGTTCCCATGGTGTCCACTTTTGTAAATGGTATGCATTGGTGGCGTAATTTAAAAATATGAGCGACTAAAATGCCCCAAAATGAAACAAAGACCCATTGTCAATTTGCCATTTAATAAAACCAAAAAACTGTACTGGGCCGGGTATGATTTTAGTCCTGTATTTTTTCACAAAAACCTGGCCAAGGTATACAGAGAGGGTCATTTTGTACTCAGGAAATATAGCAGAGAATAATTTAGTGATTTAATTTACAGTAGCATATATCAGGTTTCCAAAATACAACATGTGTGTATAAAAATGCAAAAATAAAATAATATGATAACATTTGAATGAAATTGGTGCTAACATAACTGTATAATAAAGCTCAAAATATACCACATGGCATAGATCGTGGTGTCTACTTTCACAAATGGAATGGAATGGGGTAATTTTAACTGTCAAACTGCTACTATGCCCTAAAATGTGATATAGACACATCCAATCCCTTTATCAAAATTCTAATTGTAAAAACTGTAATGGTCAGGACTCTTTTAAGGCACTGTAACTTCACAAGATAGAGGCAAAGGCATAGATTGGGGGTATCATTTTATTCAGCAGATATGGCTGAACACAATATGGGGTTTTCTACAGCAGTAGTATACATCAGCTTTATGAAATACACATTAAAAACCTTGTTTTATGTGTATGTTAGATATCTGGAAAAAAACATACAATTTTACTACACTATTTAGCAGAGATTGGCAGCGAAATGGCTAAAAAGTGTCAGGATACCCTTAAGTAAATAGCCTGTGGTGTGTGCTTTATATAAATATCTACTTTTGTGTGGCAATTTTGCTTTCTGTTATGGCTATTAAGCTTACTAGACAAACATACCAAATTCTAAAATAGCTCCACATTAAAATTGTATTTTACTACTTGTATTTTGTGACCTGTAGCTTTTAAAATAAGCTGAAATCCTAGACATATTATGTACTCTGAAACTCAGAACAACTAATTGAATATATTTTTTAATTACTTCTCCTTAAGCTGCACATATTATACACACGTTATTATTGCCTAAACTCTGAAAAAAAGTTTTTGCATTTTTTTCTTAATAATAAATAAGAATTTATATATGTATATGTCACATCAGATTAAAACACTTTTTGTCCTTTAAAAATTGTATATTATATGTGTTGGTGCAATAAATAAGAAAAATGCAAACTGAGGTTGAACATAAACAGGAAAAATTGCTTGTGTCCTTAAGGGTAAATCCATTTTTTGAAGCTGCATCCGTAAGGGGTTAAGTTTTTTTAAATTTTATTTACATTGTTATGTTTCATATATAAATATTTGATATGAAATGCAAACCCTGTGTCTCCTGAACAAAATGATATATAATAGATGTAGGTGCACTTAGTATGAAAGAGGTGAATTATGGTTCAACAGACAAAGTGCAAATTCCAGGTTTTGTTTACATTGTAATACTTTTAGAAAAACTTCATTTGGAACTCAACTGCAGGTGAAAGAATAAATTTGATACTGTCACTTTAAGAAATTTTGATTTATTGAAATGAGATATTCTTACTTTAAAAATCTTCTGCAGCAATATAAACTGAAAATAATATCCAATCTAACAATGGTAATCTTGTTTAGGATTGCTTCACATAAAAAAGTATTCAGTAGCAATAATTAAATAATGTAACTCTTTGATTAGGAAAACTATAATACAGTCCATTAGACTTCAAAATAAAGGATAGGAGAAAGGCAATTCCTGTTTTAGGAATGTGAGAGTCCTTTAGATTTCAAAGATAAATGTTCAAAATAAGTAGATCCTGATTTGGTAAGAATATCACAGTCTTTAAGACTCCAGTAATAATATATGAATTATATTTTAGGACAGATCAATCAGCTGATATGGTTACTTTCAATAGAACAATTTGGAATTGCTTGGAATTGGCAGACATATGAATTCCCTTTTATGCTTCCAAATAACTTAGGCATGAACCAATTATTAATCCCAGTAACTGGAGAACTTAGCTTGCTTTCCATGGCTGTTGAGCATGGAAGTCCTTTCCAGAATAGTGAGGATTATGGTTCCCTGTAGTATATTGAGGATTTGAGGAAAAGTCAGCGTAGTCAGGATCAGGTAAAAGAGGTTTGGTACACGGGTGATCAATAGAAGGAGTTCCGTCGGCAATTAGCAACAAATTGATTGAGCAATGTGAATGCAGCCGCGGCTTCCTTTTGACAGGAAAGCGCGTGATGTCAGACGCGTGGGCGGAGTTGCATCAGCGAGAACCCAGAAGTCATACGGGTAAATGCCAATCAGAGAGAAAATAATATGCGGGAATCCTGACATATGTTTTATTTTGATCAGAATGTGTACAATTGACTCTGTCCTTAAGGGGTTAAAGGAAGTTGGATCACAGAAACATATCTGGTGAGAATATTGTAAACTTGATTCCTTAAAGATCAAAATAGCAGAAAATATCAGTAAGATTCTTAATATTACATACATTGTCTTTCTGTTACATTTATTTTTCCAATAATGAGAAAAATATCAGAATAACTAATTATACATATTTTAATGGCAACTAAGACATGTCCTGCAAGATATCAGAGGTCCAGTGAGATTGAAATCAGATAGTTTTCCAACATAAAATGAAGAAACCAATCTGCAAAAACTTAAATCGAATAGAAGATTATAAATTTGTAAACCATTTTAAATGGAGACTACTGCCTCTATACAGGCTTTTCAAGCCATACAAACCAGAGTTGATTAACTCACACAATCTATCCAAGAAGTCCATTTAAAAGTACATGATATTCAATTACAAGCTGATACTTTAAAATGACATGCTACTTACTGCACACACTCCTGAGCCAAGGATTTACCCCCACTACGAAATTTAACGGAGAGACCCTCATATAGAGGTTTTATTCACAAATGTAAACTTATGTTTTCTCTCCAACCAAGAACTTACTTTAATGATGATGTAAAAGTTAAAACAATCATTTCCTTATTGCAAGGGGACCCTGATAAATAGGCTTATTATTTAATTTAATCTAATGATCCTTGTTCATTAACTTTAGATCAATTCCTCATGGAAATTAATAAATTATATGAAGATGAAAATAAAAGAGACACAGCAGAAACTCAATTACATTCCTTAAAACAAGAGAGAGATAATATTGAGGATTATGTTTCTCAATTTAGAAGACTTTAAGAAAACACCTTTCTCTCAAATGAATCTTTTTAATGGTTCCGTCTCTTCATATGGTGCAATTGTATAGCAAACTACTAGAAAATGACTTTCCTGTTACTGGTCACTGAAACCAGAACCAGGACTGTCAGCTGGACAAAATATTAGTAAATAATAAATAATTAAATCAAAATTGCCATCAATATGTCGGAATATAGAGAGGGTTCATACGTAGATTCAAGTGATTAAAATAGCCTAAATGGCTCTTCTCCTGTCTAAAGGACTCTTAGACGTAAAGAATCTATTTGAGACTCAGGACTTTAATATAATCAACCATAGTATGTCCATGTCAACAGTAAAAGCGGTTGTGGAATGAGCCTTTAAATTAACTCCTGTAATCTAGATGGAAAAGACAATCAGTCAAGGAGGAACTTTGAATAGTGGCTGTATATAAAGTAACACTTGTAGCAAAGCCCGCTGTATCAAAAAAGCTACAATAAGAGTGTAGTTAAGCAATCAGCAATTAAGGATAACAGCATTTAGCTGGATACCAAGTAACATATAATAAAAGGAAAAAAGTCTACATGAAAATTCGTAGATTAATCACAAAATATGTCATAAATGATAAATCTTAAGTTAGTGGTTTCCTAAATCGCTATGGGGTACAAAGAGTATCTGTTGCCCCCTCAAATACATACAGAGCCAGTCCAGATTCCTCAATCAAATAGATAGTTCCAATCTAGATAGCATATCAGGAGTGACAGGAGGAAAAGGTGAAAAATTAGGAAATAATAGTGCTAATGTGTAGAACCATGCTTAGAGTGCTGGTTACCTACACATCGTGAAATAGTGCCCTAGAAGTGAAAATCAAAAGTGAGTGAAAGTGAAGGAGAAAAACCTCCTTCAACCCGACGTGCGTTTCGGTGCTGTGATGCACCTTCGTCAGGGGCTGAATTCGTTATGGACCCTAGACCTTGTTTAAATACCCCTGGTATTGTAACTGTTGAGAGGATTCCACCAATCAGGGTTCCTATGTGGACCGTCAGTCGGCGCCAAAATGACGTCAGAATATGCTAATTCGCTGTTTAAATAAAGAAAAAAAAAATTGGAAATTAATCCATCAAAAGAGTAAATACCACTTAGATACATTCAATATGGAAATTTACCCCTGGTATGTCTGTGACTGACCCCTAGTGGCTCAAAGAAGGTATACAGCCCTCATTATTATAGCCTGTCTAGTGGGTATCTTCTGGATACACTTTAAATATACTATATAACTCACTCATTTGAGTAAATTATGTCCAGTAAGACTTACACATGACCGATCACTCTGATCCCATGATGACACATGATCCATTAAAAGTTATATAAATTACTTAAAATTTAATATGTCGTATGCTACTTTTCCCTCCATCTCCTATTTATAATACTATACACGTTATATGGATATATGGACTAGCCCAACGTACCAGCCATCTAAATTGACAAATTGAATTGATACTGCCAACGGGAATGGCTGGACAAATTTCGATTACCGAAATACTAATCTCCATTTAGTAAGAATAAGAACTGACGAATTTATCTGCATTATAAAAAGCCTCAATATTTGATTATGTATATCAGAGGCATTCATTACCTAGTATTTATGTAGACACACTGGTATATGAGTATCTGGCAATTTATTTACGATCACCAAGCCATTTGATAATACCCGCACATGGGAATTTTGGGTATAAGCTCAGCTATTACTATTTTCACATGACTGCTAAGAACAGTATAGCGGGGGTTAATTCCGCCCGTAAATCGAGAATGAGGCTTGATAATGAAATGATCATTACCCTAATAGGAAGTACAGTTAACCTGACCGCCCATATTTATATAATCCTTATGATATCCTGGGATAGGTATTAGGTCCCCATGGCTGAGCGAGGGTTAAAATCCCTTATTTCCACTTTTTAGAGGTTTTTCGCTCAAAGCCTCTCTACCCATTCTCATGATCCTACAGGCGTCCAGATAACCCATGATGAACCGTCTACTTCTCAAACAATGCCTTGCGATAGCAATACACTGACTTTACATGATATAAATGTCTTGACGAATCATCCGTCTCTGATTATAAAATTTACACAGATATATTCACCTTCGTCCTTTCCCTATTCTATGAAGCAAGTCACTCCATCCAATGAGTACATACAGGGTTAAATATAAACCACACAATGTAGAGGTGGACTTAACCCTGATTGGAGCCTTTTTTTTTTTTTTTTTTTTTTATTTAAACAGCGAATTAGCATATTCTGACGTCATTTTGGCGCCGACTGACGGTCCACATAGGAACCCTGATTGGTGGAATCCTCTCAACAGTTACAATACCAGGGGTATTTAAACAAGGTCTAGGGTCCATAACGAATTCAGCCCCTGACGAAGGTGCATCACAGCACCGAAACGCGCGTCGGGTTGAAGGAGGTTTTTCTCCTTCACTTTCACTCACTTTTTATTTTCACTTCTAGGGCACTATTTCACGATGTGTAGGTAACCAGCACTCTAAGCATGGTTCTACACATTAGCACTATTATTTCCTAATTTTTCACCTTTTCCTCCTGTCACTCCTGATATGCTATCTAGATTGGAATTATCTATTTGATTGAGGAATCTGGACTGGCTCTGTATGTATTTGAGGGGGCAACAGATACTCTTTGTACCCCATAGCGATTTAGGAAACCACTAACTTAAGATTTATCATTTATGACATATTTTGTGATTAATCTACGAATTTTCATGTAGACTTTTTTCCTTTTATTATATGTTACTTGGTATCCAGCTAAATGCTGTTATCCTTAATTGCTGATTGCTTAACTACACTCTTATTGTAGCTTTTTTGATACAGCGGGCTTTGCTACAAGTGTTACTTTATATACAGCCACTATTCAAAGTTCCTCCTTGACTGATTGTCTTTTCCATCTAGATTACAGGAGTTAATTTAAAGGCTCATTCCACAACCGCTTTTACTGTTGACATGGACATACTATGGTTGATTATATTAAAGTCCTGAGTCTCAAATAGATTCTTTACGTCTAAGAGTCCTTTAGACAGGAGAAGAGCCATTTAGGCTATTTTAATCACTTGAATCTACGTATGAACCCTCTCTATATTCCGACATATTGATGGCAATTTTGATTTAATTATCTATTATTTACTAATATTTTGTCCAGCTGACAGTCCTGGTTCTGGTTTCAGTGACCAGTAACAGGAAAGTCATTTTCTAGTACTTCCATTTTGGGGTTATGCCCCTTGACACCACTGGAGTGTCATTTAAAGGTGTGACTGACCACTAGGAGGGTGGTATATTCAAGTCTGGAATAACCACTACCTTTGGCCTAGTCAATTTCTACTACTGTATAGCAAACTACCACACTTTCATCAACCATCAATGATGATAGTGATGATATTCATTCTGAAAAAAATCTCCTTTGATATTGTTTCTTCTTCATTTTTTTTACATAGTTCTGGACTTTTGACATGGTTCTGGGCCTTTCTTGACTTATTAAACATAATCTCTTCATCGATTGGTCTAATAATTCTATTGTCTTTAATTCAAAATTTTGTAATTCTAATTGTGAAAAACAATGTATCGTAGGGTCTACCACCCTTAACATTCCAGATCATTATCTGGAATTACAAGATTTTTTTTGTGAAAAATAAGTGTCTAAATTACCCCCCTCAAGACCATATGATTGTCCTACTGATTTATTGGAAGGATCAAAAATTCCTTTTAGTCATTTATATCTTTTATCAGAACCGGAACCTAAAACCCTCCGTGATTACCTTGATACTAACTTAGCACATCATTCTACATCTCCTGCAAAAGCAGGTATTTTTTTTTGTTACCAATAAAGATGG